TGCTGAACCACTGGGACGACTACATCCAGGACCAAAAAAGGGATCTTATCTCAACTCTTCTGGCAGTAGCTCGCTTATCCATTTGCCGCTAGCTGGGAATCCCCAACAGCACCTTTCATAACATCCTGGCAGGACAAGCTCTGGGAACATCTTGTTATGGCAAAAATTTCTGATTCACTCAAGATTTCACACTCAGACACACCACATACCTCCAAATGTGTGTCAACCTGGTACCCTGTTGTCTCCTACTTACAAGCTCTCGACAACCTCCCCCCCCCAACCCTCTCTTTCTTAAATGGCTAACCCTATAGGTTAGTATCTTCATTTACCAAAGGTTTTTGTACTTGTAGGCACTGAATTACGCTGTATCTTCGCTTTAGGTTCTGTATGTCATATGAAAATCAATAAAGATGGTTTAAAAAAAGAAGAAGGAGGACTTCCTTTTGTCTTCCGGGCAGAAACTGATCTCTGTAGTCTGGAGACCACTTTTAATTCCAGATGATCCCCAGACTCTTCCTGGACACTGGCATGCTGACACTTAGGAGGCAGGGGAGAGGTGAGGACCAGTCTAAGTGCTTGGCATTCTGGACGTCCAATTGGTATGAAGGAGTCATCCTATTTGGTCCCAGCTGGGACTCCCTTCTGGGCCTCGTAGGCACCAAAAGGCGAGCTTTGTATTGTTGCTGTCACACACACACCCTTAGTGAGACCTGAACCCACGCCTCCTGGGACTGTGCCCTTGTGCTTTCTCTCTTTTTTTAAAAAACGTTTATTTTCAAGTTTTTACAATAGAAATCCAAATAATGTTATTACATAAATTTCTGGAGATTCTTTATACATTTGTTTCAAACCATTTATCAAGTTTTTGCCATCTTTTTTTAAATAGAATTTCATCTTTTGCCAACAAAATCATATTTAATTTGTCCATCTCTCTTATTTCCATGATTCTACCAATTAACTCCTCTCTACTCGGTATTTGTTCCGACTTCCAGCATTTTGCTAAAAGAATTCTAGAGCTGGTAAGGATGTACAATATCACACATGTGTCATTAAATTTAATCCCTTCTGGTAGCACATTCAGTAAGTATACTTCTGGATCCAACTTTAACTCTATTTCCAGAATTGCTGTTATTAGCTTTTGTACTCTTTCCCAAAATTTTACTGCTTTCTCACATCTCCACCAAACGTGAAAATATGAGCCAACATTCTTTTTACATCTCCAACAGTTTCCCAAAGCCCTTTTATAGCACTTTGCTACTTTGTGCTTTCTCACTGTTGTGTTGCCCGGGGGTCTGCACCTCTGTCGCCTGGCAAAAGGACGCCCTTCCTCCCACCCAAACCCCAGTGCAGGAGGGAGAACTTGGCATCTGCGTTATGGCTGCCTCTGCCAAGTGAGTCATGGAGTGATGGGGCAGGAAGATGTGGTTGGAACAGCCTTGTTCTCCCCCTGGGCGTCCACTTTGTAGAGCAGTGCTGCTGCGGGTCCGGGGGTAATTTAGTAGGAAAAGAGGTGCAGGAGCTCTTTAGCATAACTTATTTGCATATGCCACACCCCCTGACATTGCCGGAAGTGTGTCAGAAGGCAACACCCACTGCTCAGACTCCACTGGACTGTTTTGGATTGCTAGCTATGGCGGGGGGACACGCAGATCTGCCCTCACAGAGGAGGGAGAGCTTGTACCTGAATAAACCTTGGCCTTAAAGGTGCCACTGGACTGTTTTGGACTGGGGGGCCGGGGGGAGCTCTGCAACTTACTTGGCTGCTTCTTGCTCCTTGTGGCCCAGGGCTGCTGGGAGCAAGTGGCGGGGCTTGTTGCATGTGCCCGCCCCCTGGGTTCTTTACTGCCGAAGCTCCGCTCCTGTGCACTCCTGCAGGAAATGACCCCTGGATACATACCAGTTTGGTGTGTTTCTATCTGGGGTTTGCAGAAGGCTTTTCTAGTTGCCTCTTTGGCCCTACCAGTATTATATGTGTGGAAGTCTTGATTCTGGAGAGGGTTTGGATTTCTGCTTAAAGTCCTATAGAAAGCAGGGTTGGCCTGGCCTTGCATTTCTGGATGAAGCAGGTCTGGTGGCAGCCTATCATGGATTAGGAGCAAGGGGAACTTGTTTTGTTAATTTTGTTAATATTGTTAATATTAGTTAGAGTGCTCTGCCTCTCAGGGCTACAGCCCAACCTCCTGCTGGGTTGGTAAAGGAGTACTTGAGGCCTGGTGGTAACTGCCTGTCAGAGGCACTACACCCAGGAAAGAGGCCAAGAGGGGATCAAAGGTGATCACTGTTGACTGGCAGTTGGGAAGCTGCAAGTTTCTGTTGTTCAGTCACACAGTTGAGTCCGACTCTTCGTGACCCATGGACCAGATCACGCCAGGCCCTCCTGTCTTCCGCCGTCCTTTGAAGTTCGCACAATTTCATGTTCGTTGCATTGCTAACACTGTCTAGCCATCTCATCCTTTGCCATCCCCTTCTTCTTTGACCTTCTATCTCTCCCAGCATCAGGGTCTTCTCCAATGAGTGCTCCCTTCTCATTGGGTGGCCAAAGTATTTTAACAGTCAGGATTGATTTCTTTTAGGATTGACTGATTTGATCTTGCAGTCCAACGGACTCTCAAGAGTCTTCTCCAGGAGCTTCCGGTTAATGGCGACACGCTAGCAGACGTCTCTCCTGAACCTCCGGGGAGAAGATCTGAGTGCCTGCGGTGATGAGGGGGCTCGGCTGTCCATTGCCCCCCCATGGAACTGGTGCGAAAGGCTCCTCACCATGGGCCTTTTGAGGGGTAGCCTCTTTCGCAGCAAGATGCTGCGAAATTGAGGCACTCCTCCGCCCCGATGGTCCTGCCGCTGTTCGCATGGCTCTAGAGCCGCCGGCCGGGACAAACATTGGAGATCGGGCGATTTAGCCGTGATTCAGTGAGGTCCTTGGACCAACAATGAACAGTGAGTCAAATAAAAATGAGATGCCAAAAAGCTAAAAGAAAGCCCCCCCTGGGAACGGCGAGACGAGCGAGCGGGGGAGGGGTTCCTCCCACATGCACAAACAAAACAACAATTTGCCAAGGGGGGAGCAGAAGTAAAAGCGTGGAAATAAGTTTTAAGAAACTTACTGGAGCGTAGATAAGTGCTTGGGCGAATTTCAGAGACTTTAGGAACTTTTATTAAAAGTAAATAATCCTCAAGCATGGCGGGGAAGAGAACGGAGAAATATAAGCTAGCAAAAATGAAACTAACGGCAGGCTCAAGTCCCCGGATGGAGGATTCCTCAGAGCTATCCAAAATGCTAGCAGAAACCATGTGCCCTCTGCTGGACCAAATAACCAACGTTAACCAGCAGCTAACTGTACTGAATCAAAACCTTGTAGCCCAGCAGCTCCAACTAGTGAAAATCACAAAAATAACGGAGCAAACAGTGGAGAAAGTCAAGGAAGTGGACGCAAAGACCAAAAAAGTCAAGAAAAAGGTGCAAATGCTGGAAAAGAAACAAACTTCAGGTGAATCTCAAATTTTGCAGCTGCAAATGGAGAGAGCCAACCTAGTCCTCCGATTCCAAGGGGTCCCTGAGACAAAAGGAGAGAATCTAAAAGAACTTTTGAGTGAAGCATTAGTTCCAGTTACAGATTTGAAAGTGGAATACTTGATAAGCGAAATGGATGTGATCTATAGATCCTATTCCAACTATATCAAGAAAAATAATCTGCCTGGAGAGATTGTGGTTAGATTCTTGAAGAGACTTCTCAGGGACTTAATACTTAAAACAACTATAGGAGTACCCCTGAAAATGGGAGGGAATAACATCAGAATTTTAAAAGATATCCCATTTGAAATTAGGAAAAAGAGGAAGGAGTATAAAGACGTGATATTGTTTTTGCAAACGAACAGCATTGCCTACAGATGGTTGATTCCCGAAGGCGTCACCTTTAAAATTAAGGACAAAAAAGAAAAGATTGACTCTGTTTTTAAGGCATGTGAGTTCCTGAGATTGTAACTGGGAGAACCAGGAGAGGTTGGTGGGGAAGAAGAACACAGCAAATCCAGTGATGATATGGACTCTGTGGCTTCAGAACCCCACCCCCAAAATGGCCAGATCAGGCAATGCCCCCAGCGTGATGACGCCATCCGGAAGTGACGCCATCACACCAGGGGCGTCACCGGGCGACACTCTAGCAGCCGCCCCAAAAAACTCTATGGTACCATAGAGTTTTTGGGGCAACTGGTAGAGCTTCGCCTGGTGACGCCCCCAGCATGATGATGTCACTTCCGGGTGTCATCACAGTGGCGTGCACGAATGTCCCAGGAGGGGACGAGGACTCCCCAGCCGCACAAGGTAAGTGTCTTGGCAACCCTAACTTGAAATGACATAGTCATGAAGATAACATTCAAAAAGCATAATTGGTTACAAAGACCAATGCATCATTTGAGGAATATTCCACTTATTGGTCAAATGTAAAGAAAGGTTTGTCTACACAATATCTTCAAGTGTTTACTTAACCAAACCTGATTAATATTGGCCAAGGAGTCTTCATACCCAAACAAAGGTGTTTTTCTCTGATACGAAGCTAAAATCTTTTTTGACCCAGGCACTGCAAAGTTTGAACCTAAACAACTAAAAACCATGAACTCTATGGCTATCTTCTATACCAAAAGAATATTCATAGAATGTTAGAGTTGGAAGGGATCTTGCAGGTCATCTAGTCCAACCCCCTGCATTCTACAGAAGCATAGCCGAAAGATAACCCTACAACATACCCGAAAGATGGTCGTCCAGCCTCAGATTGAAAACATCCAGCGAAGAAGCATCCACTACCTCCCGAGGCAGTCTGTTCCACTGCTCAACCACTCTTACAGTTAGGAAGTTTCTCTTGATATTTAGCCGGTAATGACTCTTGTAATTTCCACCCATTGGATCTAGCCTTGCAATCTGGAGCAAGAGAGAATAGATCTGCTCCATTTTCTACATGACAGCCCTTCAAATACTTGAGGACTGCAATCATGTCCCCTCTAAGCCTTCTCTTTCCCAGGCTAAACAGACCCAACTCTTTCAGCCTTTCATAAGACTTGGATTCCAACCCTTTCACCATCCTGGTTGCCCTCTTCTGGACACACTCGAGCTTGTCAACATCCTCCCTAAAATGTGGTGCCCAAAACTGGACACAGGACTCCAGGTGAGGCCTGACCAGAGCAGAATAGAGTGGAACTACCACCTCCCGTGATCTGGACACAATGCTTCTGTTAATGCACCCTAAGATTGTATTAGCTTTCTTCACAGCCACATCGCACTGCAGGCTCATGTTTAACTCGTGATCAACCAGAACACCTAGATCCCTTTCACATGTGCTGCTGTCAAGCCAAGTCCCTCCCATTCTATATCTGTGCCTTTGATTTTTTTGTACCTAAGTGTAGGACTTTGCACTTCTCTCATTGAAATTCATTTTATTTGTCTCAGCCCACTGTTCCAGCCTATCTAGATCATTTTGAATCCTGACTCTGTCTTCTTCAGAATTAGCAATTTCACCCAGCTTTGTGTCATCTGCAAATCTGATAAGCATCCCCTCTATGTCTTCCTCCAGATCATTTATGAAAACACTGAACAAGACGGGCCCAGGACCAAGCCCTGCGGCACTCCACTCGAGACTTCCCCCCATGTAGACACAGAGCCATTTACGAGCACTCGTTGGCTACAATTTTTCAACCAACCATGAATCCATCCTACAGTTGCACCATCCAGCTCACATTTAACCAGCTTATCCTCAAGGATATCATGTGAAACGTTGTCAAATGGTTTACTGAAATCTAGATACACTATGTCCACAGCATTGCCAGAGTCAACCATTTAATAACAGACTACGAGGTCCCTCCTGGAGGTTAGCAACCCTAAACATGTAACTGTTCAGGCTTGTTGTATTTGAGGAGACCAGCGTCTCAGTCTTTTCTGACTTCTATCTAGCCAGTCCCTTAAAGACGGATCGACTTGCAGCTCTGTTCTGCATTGGTGTGTTGTCTGTTTTTCTTCCCCACAGGAGTTTCTTGTAGCTCTAGAATATCAGCGTGTAGTTTTATAGAAAAGCTAGAGTCCTTCTGAGGTAAGCTATCGGCTGCTCCAGGCCCTTCAGTCACTCTGGAAAGATGGCACCCACCCATATGGAATTGCCAATTCTTTCCCCCCACCCCAGTGAACTCATTATATTGAAATAAAACAAAACCATATGGGCCTCCTGACTGTCTTCTACCGTATTTGCTACCCCTCCCAGTCTAGTATCACCTGCAGATTTAATAAGCATTCCCTCTATTCCTTCATCCAAATAATTTGTAAAGATGTTGAACAAAACAGGTCCCAGGACAGATCCCTAAGGCACTTGACTTGTCACTCCTTGCCAAGAGGATATTGATTGATTTATCTGAACATTCAGGATTATTTATCCAAGACTCTGGGTAACATGTGACATGTTAATTAGATTAATAATCTAGCCTTCCATATAACTCTCATCATAACCTTCCTCACAAGCTTATTGTTGTGAGGATAAAATAAAGGTCAGGAAAATAATGTAAGCCACTCTGGGTCCCTATTAGGGACAAAAGTTAGGAAGACATTTGTTATGAATCTAATTTTTGTCTACAGTTCACCAAAAAAAGAGAGATGATCTCTATTGTCACTTCCTCAGGTATTGTTGCAATATTTTTGGCAGGAGGTAGGACAGATTCAGTATTCAAACTACTGTCTATTTTCCCCTTCATCCTCAGGTAAGTAGGGACAAAAAGGACATCCACACACTGCAGAAAACCAGCATGCTGAAGATGATCAGCTTGGCTTCGTTGAAGGCCTCAGGCAGTTCCCTGGTTAGGAATGTCGTCGTGAATGAGATATCAGTCAGAAAAGAAAAGAAAATACTGTGAAATAGGATGCTACGAAAATCAATAAGGACACAATCGTGTCATTATTATATCTAAATACTTATAACAAGACACACCAAATTATTATTCACCAAAAAAATCATAAAGCAAACCTGGGTTGAGAGTAGTTCCATTAGAAATTGTGGAATGGTACTCGACTTGGACAGTGGGGAATTTCACATTACCCAGTTTCATCCGGTTTCAAGCCGGTAATCATCCGTTTTGAAGTGAACCGGTACAGGGCTGCCATTTCACACATGGCTTGCCCCTACTGGAAATGAGCCGGATCAGAAGTGGTTTGGCATTTCAGACTTGCACCGCTTTGTTTTCCCACCATTTTCTTCCCGCATGGGTGATTTTTTTTTGAACGTTCAATTTATAGCGTTATATCGCTATAACGCTATACTGGAACTCCAAACGATCGCAATAGCAATCCCATTGGAGTTTGACGTTCCGGTATAGCGTTATAGCGATATAAAGCTATAAATCGAACGTTCAGGGGGGGAAAGCCCGCGTGGGCGAAAAATGGCGGGAAAAAAGCATAACAAAATCGGGGGGAAAGCATAACAGAATCGGGAGAGGGAACTGAAGACTACTCGGAAGCAGTTGACAGGTAAAACGCTTCAGTCCCGGTTCCTAAACAGGACAGAAACTTTTGTGTATGAAATCGCAAATACAGTCCAGTAGGGAACCAATTCTCAAATGGGTTCTGTCTGAAATGACAGACCAGAACCCGTTTGAGAACCGGTTCCCTACTGGGAGATATCGCCTGTCTGAAATTCCTCAATATGTTTTAGACTTCTGTGGAGCCAATAATAAAAGATTCCACCATCATCAGAAAAATGTGCATGTTAATCCTTGGAAGGAAACTAGTCTGCATCTAGAGAATGGAAAAAAATTGTCTTTTTCTGAAGAAGAGATATATATATCTGGAATCCCCATCCTACCATAAAGACTTCTTCCATAAGAATTTTTGACATGAACCCATATATGGACTTGAATTCATTCCAATTGTATATTCTGTATTATTAGTGTGCCTTGTGTCATGGGATTTGCTTCATGATATTTTTTTTGTGAATAATAATTTGGTGTGTCTCTTGTATTTAGAAATAACCGCATGATTCATTTCTTTATAAGTCTTTTTTTTTTTTTTGGGTAAACAAAATTTTTATTTTTTCCATAGGAATACAACATTTAAATTAAACCATTTCATTTTTCCATTGTTTACCCCATTCCCATCTCCTCCCCTCCCTTCCGTGGCTTCCCGCAATGCTTCCCCCCCATTTCACATTACTTTACATCAATTATATCATTTTTCTTATCATTACAATCTCAAGATAACTTCATTTGACTT